CTATTTCTGCCTTTTACTCACATTTTGTTTCTTCTAGGAGGAATTTGAAACCTATTTCGGAAGTTATTCATTCCATTCACACCATTCTCTTTGCTAAATGCTTTCGTCTCTTTAGCTCTATGACCATCTAATAGCTTGACAGCATGCCAGTATGTCAATGATTAAACAAAACTAATATCAAAGAAGATTTTTGCTGGTATCTCTGAAAGAGTAAACTGGCTATGCAGCAGGGAACAAGAAGAATATACGGCCCTTAATAAGCTTGCACTGAGATGGGCTCAAATGGCCAACAGCTATTCCCATGAAGCGACTGTGAGAGGTGTTGGGAGGGGAGAGGTCTCAATTCAAATGAAGAGTTACCCAGAACATAAATACATCTACAATAATCATCAACTTGACAGGATTTGACATCTCAGTGGGTGGCCTCAGAGGAGTTGCCAAGGCCAGAATGGGTAAACAGAGGTAGTACTGGATTTGAGACCAATTCTCAAGGGGTGAGAACACTGCAAAGACTTTAAAACATATTTTTAACTTCTCACAAGGGATGCTAGTTGATGAACCGATTCCTCTCCCCATCCACACATGCCTCTGTGTAGCCTCACAATAGCACCAGCTTTCTCATCCCACCCATGTCCTGGCAATGGCCCCATTTTAGGGTTAAAATGGGGGGGCTCCTCTTTGTAAAAGTGGTTTTTGTGATGTGCACATCTGCCCACAGGACTAAGACCACCAATTAGTCATCAGGTGATAACATCTTCCAATCGCTGCTACACCAACTAAGCCTGATTCAGAATTACTGTGCTCGGGTTTGACCATATTTACTGGAAGATTGGCACTGCAGCAATCGATCCCCTAGAGGTCAATTTAGTGGGTCTGGTGAAGACCTGCTAAATCAAACGTGTTCTTGCTGATTCAGTTACTACATCAGAGCAAGCAGTTTCAAGGGAACTTGTTGAGAGAGTTTCTCCCATCGACCTCCTGCAATGCAAACCATGCAGAAACCTGACCTAAGGTATGTTGACTCCAGCAACATCATTATATAGCGGGGGTTAAGTACATTAGGTCCACTGTGCCCCATAGCGCAGCCCAGCCCTGAGAGGTGAAAGGCAGCCTCTACCTCCTCTCCTCTCTTTATCAACCTACTGAGTTATCCCCTCCCCTTGGAACGGAGTTTAAATGCCTACAACAAATCTGGTTACTTATGTTATTTCTGCTTTATTCCTCTTCCCTCCGTCCAGAGACGTTGAAGTACAGGAGACTTCTAGACTTTGATTTCATCTAAACATTTATTTGACTGAAAAGCACACACAGTGGTCCCAGCAGAGCCATAGCGCCAATGACAGACTTCAAAAGGTCATCACTCCACATTCGAAAGCCATTAGCCTAGGGGGGGACAAAACCGAGTTTTCCATGCACCTGTGACTTCCCTGACATCTCTTGGGTGCTGCTCCCGCCGTTCCCGGTTTCTGAAGTGTGAGGCCAGAATTCTCACAAGAGGACGGGGTCTGTGTTCTCACCAAGTCAAATGGAACTGCTGATTTGGAGGAAACGTCGCCGTTCCAATACAGAATCAAAGATTTATGTTTCAGCCAGGCAGCAGCTACTATCAAGAGGGAACAGATACATTACACACACGGCCTTTCCAAGCAGCTAATAACCTTTCCCGCCCCGCCATATCCTAGGATACGTTTTAAGGTTTAAGCATAACATATACACTGAAAATAGCAGAAACATCTGGGGTCTATTACAGCACCGCTTTGCTGGTCCAGGGCATTGTGCGAATCCCCGCAGGCCGACGCTCACCCTTGACCTGCCAAACACGATTACCGCAGTCAAGCAACTTCCCCATGCGCCACAGCTGCGCTCCTTCCCCCGCTCCCGTCAACAGACACAGAGCGACTATGCTGTAGCGACTAGTCACAAACCTGGGTTGCCATGGCACCAGAAGAGAGGGTCTCAAGGATGAGCAGTGGAAACATTTTGCCAGCAACGCTGGGGGGGACGAGGGAAAGACAACCACCCACATCGTGCTATAGAGATTGGTCTCCTCATCTAAGACCCCCGTCGGGTACATCCCCTCCTCTCGGATGCCCTCAGGCCTCCTGTGGCTTTACCCACTTCTGGTCACACATCCTTCCAAATCTCCTCTCAGCTCTTCCTTTCTGGACCGATTACTCCTGTCACCCTTAACGCTGGGGGGGACGAGGGAAAGACAACCACCCACATCGTGCTATAGAGATTGGTCTCCTCATCTAAGACCCCCGTCGGGTACATCCCCTCCTCTCGGATGCCCTCAGGCCTCCTGTGGCTTTACCCACTTCTGGTCACACATCCTTCCAAATCTCCTCTCAGCTCTTCCTTTCTGGACCGATTACTCCTGTCACCCTTGGGCGTCAGCCACCCAGCTGCTTTCTCCAGTGGAGCCCCAGAGAGCTGAGTTGAGCACTGCAGCTACTGACGCCTTCCTCTGCCCCCCACTCAATAGCCTGCCCCCCACTGAAAGACAGTTTGGTGGTCTCCAAGTTGAGAGGTTCACATTCCAGCTATGACCAGGTTCACCCCTGCTTATGGGACCGGCGGCAGCCCCCCTCCAATGGGAATATTCCACCCTCCAGGCGCCAAACAGTATCTGGGCAAACTGGTCTAGCAATCTCCCATCCACTTCAAAGCCTCATCCTTCAGCTTTCCCTCCGTGCTTAAAGCCCATCGACTAAGTGCTACCTCCAGTGTGGTGGTGGACCATCGAACCGTCTGCCAATTACAGCATTCGGTCCATTTTCTCCCGCGGGTTGATCTGCAGAAGTGAATGTCTAAAAATAAACCCGAAGGGCATCGCTTTTTTTTTTTTAAAAGGCCTATTACTCCATAGCTTGGCAAAACAGCACAGCGGCTCTGCTTTTGCTCTTTGTCGGCATGTCTTCAGTTCAGCCCACCAATCGATGGAAACCTCTTCTTGGCGCACCGCCACAGTACAAAGCAACGGATGTTTGCAGAAGAAATGGAACTGATGCTCGGCTGGGCTAGCTAGACACCGTATTTAAATATAACCCCCGCTCCCTCTCCGAAGCAGCACCTGGCCATTCTGTTCTCGGATGATAGTGCAACTCCGCCAACATTTTATGAGGTCATGCGTTTGCACTTCCCCTATTGCCCCCGGCTGGAACTTTTACATGAGATGTGCTTCAAGCAAGAGGCTTTATACTAGCACTTGTGAAACAGACACAGCAAGCACCTGGATACTAACTCAGCCCTAAATCAGTGGGAAACTGGCAACATTTTAACAAGGGGCTCCCTCAACGGGTGACCCCCGGGCCATCCCCAGCACAGTGTTTTCCCTCCTCTCCCAACTCAAAAAATCCTCCAGTGCTTCACTTGTCTCTCTCACCTCCAAAACAAACACAACCAATCAAATCACACCCCAGACCCATCCACAATTCCCTGCATCCCAGATCTACCCACCCTCTCCTACCCCCTTTGGAGGTTCTATAGGCATCTCCCATCTATCAGCTGCATGGACGGTGAGTGAAAGTAGGGCTGGGAGAGACAAGTCCTGCCATGGGGCAGGGGACTGGACTTGATGACCTCCTGGGGTCTCTTCCAGTTCTAGTGTTCTAGGATTCAATGACTCTCCTGCTAACTGATGGGAGAACAGTCTTCAGACACGGTAAGTACCGTCCTTTACCTGCGGTGATTGGGTTTATCTTATCTGCTCAAAATTTATGGAACCTACATCAATGGGTGCAAAACAGTTTTATCAATGTAAGTGGCCTGATAACCCTATGCCAAGCACCTGGTGCTTCAAATTGTTATTTATCCTCCAACGACTTCAAAGCATTTTACCAGTCCAGTTTGTTCTGTGCCTCTTTGAGAGTGATCAGAAACGGACTCTGACTTTTTCCAGGGGACTGACGGTCCCTCTTGGGAGAAGAAGCCTTAAGCTATAAATCTGCCGCCATCCACGGACGCCTGCTATTCTGTTAATTTGTCAAGGGAAGTTTTAAAAAGTTTTAATAAGGAAACTAATGCTCCGTAACAGTCAAACCTTCCCCTGCTGTGGTCTGATTTCCGCTTTTCCAGGGATAATTGACTTCCTAAGACAATCAAAAGAATATACACGAGTCAAAGATTTGTTCCTTGCTAAGAGTTAATATGAAAATAAAAGGGTTATTTAGGAAAAATACACTGGTCTCTCACAGCAACCTTTATTTTTTCCTTACTTATGGACAGCAACACTTTCCAAATCTGTGCCATCCAGCTGTTAGCAAATTTCACAGAACCTCTCCCTAAGGGAGTTTGTCCATAAAAGCGCTAGCATTTTTATGAAACCACTAATTAAATATGGCTTAAAAAAAAAGATGTACGTTTTTCCTGACACATCCATGGTGAAGGAATTCTATGACATAATATTGTGGGAGAACCTAAACCTAGAGGCATTTACAACAACTGAAGTCCTCTCCTTGCTACAGTTGTGACGGGTCTAAAAGTTTATGCCTTAAAATCTACATGAAACTCAGGAAAGGTGAAACTTTTGCCATTTCATTGCAACGCCTCAAAACAGCAAGCTACAATGACAGCCGGCAGTTTCCTACTTTGCAGAGCCTGAGACTAAGATGACTAAGGTGCTGAGAACACCTGGATATGTAAGAGCAGGTTAGACGTCTATCAGAGCTGGTTTAGATGGTGCTTGGTCCTGCCATGAGGGCAGAGGACTGGACATGATGCCCTTTGGAGGGCCCTTCCAGTTCTAGGATTCTAGGAAAACCATCAGGTGTACACAAGTTCCACCTGTAAATTAGGTTAACTATTGACCTAATTAAATGAGTATCAGCATTTCAGTTTCTCTTTCTCTTCCCTACCAGCTGCTGCTCTAGTGGAGACCACACACAGTCTCAAGCCAAAAGCATGACGTTCAACCCACTTTCTTTCAGATGTTACGCTTGAAACAGAGACGCTTAGTCACGGTTTTCAGTTCAAATAGCGAATTATCTTTTTTCTTGTAGGTGCTGGGGGGTCCTCCTGATACTCCCGTTTGAAACCAGTGGATGCAGTGTAGACCTCTTTCAACAGGACTCCACTCCAGCCTCGGCACGCAAGGGACTCAATCCTGCAAAGCGCTGAACGCTGTGGTCTGTCTAGCAGAGCTAGTCCAGTGGCACCGAAAGGCTGCCCAACCGGGGCTGAGGTTCCATCCCATAGTGCTGAGAAAGCCTTCAATGTGAGCTTCCCACCTCCCATAATCGCCAACAGCAGATACTTTTCCTACAGCAGGGGCCTGAAGCCTGCTGGCTGGGAAGCAGACGCAACTGGGCCACGAGACTGGCACTGACACGCACTAGCATCCCAATCCTTTCCTTGACACTTCTAGAAGCAGCACAGAGCTTTCCCCTGTGGCCGGCCTGGCGCTCAGGAAGTAACAGGACCAATTAGAAGAGGCTGCACTCTACCCTCCATCCCTGGTTTCCTTGTGCTGCTCAGAGCCTGGTATCTAGCTTGAGGGGTGAGTGGAGAACTCCCCTGGGATAAAAGAGCAGCCCAGCTAGACTAAAGCTGCATAGCTGGCTCCTACACCAATTACCTCGCTCAACTCAGCACAGCGGGGAGGAGGCGGCGTGCCAAGGCCACCTCAGCTCCTCTAGCTCTCTGCTGACGGGGCCACAGTGAGCAGACTGGAGGCTGTGCTAGCCCCTGTGGAGACTTGCTTGAGGTAAAAGGAGCCCTCATTGGTTTTCACTTGCATCCCCCCGAGTGCTAACAGGTCTTGGTGTAGGAGAGAGTCCCATTAATTTTTGACATCCAAATATCCCCAGGCACCTTAGGAATATCAGGACAGGACTAAGAACCATACACAGGGCAGCATGAGGAGGTAAGGTGTCGAGATATGGCCACTGCAAGCATGGTAGTACTTACCGAATAAAAACATCTATACAGTATGAAGGCTGTTTCATCGAAGTCACATGCTGCCTTTCTTTAACAAGTGCTACAACTGACCAGGTCTACACTGGTGGAGAAAATTGATGCAAGATATGCAACTCCAGCTATATGAACTGAGTAGCTGGAGTCGATGTACCTTGCATCAATTTTCTGGGATGGCCACACAACAGCAAAGAGTAATGGCGCCGATGAGCGCATCCTCAGCATTTGATTTAGTGGGTCTTTACTAGACCCGTTAAATCAAACCCCGAAAGATCGATCACCAAAGAGTCGATCCTCCGGTAAGTGGAGATGTGGGCTCAGGGTGTTAGATTTACTCTGTGTGACAACTCAACAGGAAACTCGAACACACACTGTGAGGATTAATAAAGACTAGCTTTTTCGGTAAATTAAAAACATCCACTCTGGGATTTCATTGCAAACATCAATATGTTCTTGCTTTTTACAGAGCCAGTAATTTACTTCAATGCTGCTGCTACCACCAATGAAGTGGAGTGCCAGAGCAACTATAGCAATTGGAGCTGGTGAGAAGGAGTTTTACAAACCTGCATCAGGATTTATCTGCTGGTCTGTATCCCTACTTGCTGGCTCATTTCAGCATTTTGAGGTTATTCCTACAATGTGCTAGTGATGGTTAACAAGGATTTTCCCAAGGACAAAAGAAAGCAGAAAAGAGGGAAGAGGGTGGGAAAATATTTCTCTATCAGGGAGGCAGTGTGGTCTAATGGATACAGCATTGGCTCAGGAGTCAGAAAACCTGGATTCTATTCCAGGCTCTGCCACCGATCTGCTGTAAGATCCTGTAAAAATCATTTTCCTACTCCCATTCTTTTATCTAGTCAGACAGAAACTATTTAGCCCTATGGGACATTACTCTCCACAGAGATTCCAGGCACCATCGTAACACAAATAACAGTAATATATGCAATGCAGTTCCAAACTCCATTTGCAAAATAAGGGAGCTTAATTTGTATTGTGGCATTAATAACCAAGGGTATGTCTACACTAGCCCCCTAGTTCAAACTAGGGAGGCTAATGTAGGCATTCAAAGTTGCAAATGGAGCCCGGGATTTAAATATCCCAGGCTTTATTTGCATGTTTCCATCTGGTCGCCATTTTTAAATTCCACTCGTCCAAAGTAACTGCCCGCGGCTACACGCGGCAGTGAAACGGTAATTCGAACTAAGTCCTTAGTTCAAATTAACTCTTACACCTCATTCCACAAGGAGTGAGGAATAACATTCCATGAGGAGTAACAGTTAATTCGAAATAAGTCCTTGAAAAAGCGTGTAGCTGCGGGCAGTTATTTCAGACTAGTGGAACTTAAAAATGGCGACCGGATGGGAACATGCAAATGAAGCCCGGGATATTTAAATCCCCGGCTTCATTTGCAACTTCGAATGCCTACATTAGCCTCCCTAGTTCGAACTAGGGGCTTAGTGTAGACATACCCCAATATACTTTTCTCAAATATAATACAACAACTAGGACTGAAAGCAGCAGGTGGACAGACCAGCCCATATACCGAGTAACCTACCAAGTACTGACCAACAGAATTGTTAGACTTCTTCTAAAATATGAATTTATGCAATTGCTTCCTACAGTACTTGCGTTAAAAATCTAGCTTTTCTGTCAGTAACCACACTTGTAAAATTCTCCTTCAAGCATCCCTGATGCTGTATTTTACCAGGAAACACAATTCATTGCAAAAATCTACATGTGAAGCTATAATACTATTCTTCCTGGGAGATTTCTCCCATTAGATGTACACTAATATAAATTACTGTGCAGGTAAGCAATAGATAAGATAAGAATAGAAGAACGGCCATACTGGGTGAGACCAAAGGTCCATCTAGTCCAGTATCCCATCTGCCAACAGTGGCTAATGCCAGATGCCACAGAGGGAGCGAACAGAAAAGGAATCATCAAGTGATCCCTCCCCTGTCATCCATTCCGTCTCTGACAAACAGAGGCTAGAGACACCATTCTTACCGATCCAGGCTAATAGCCTATGATGGACCTAACCTCCATGAATTTATCTAGTTCTTTTTGAGCACTGATAAAGTCCTGGTCTTCACAACATCCTCCAGCAAGGAGTTCCACTGGTTGACTGGGCATTGCATGAAGAAATACTTCCCTAGGTTTGTTTTAAACATGCTACCTGTTGATTTCATTTGGTGACTTCTTGTTCTTTTGCTGAGGGCTACTGACCCATGAACAAGCTGTTAAGTGGGGTTTTACATGAACAAACTCCAAGCCTCGATCTGCCTGATCCGGATCGTCTCTTCTTATGGAGGTGAAAGGGCAATCAACCCAGAGAGGCCAAAAGAGACAAATAAGGCATTAAAGAAATGATCTCAAACAGACAATCTCAACGTTGAATTGTGCTTACTTTGTTTAGTCCTATGGGGACCCGGCCCAATATCTGGTTGGCCTATAGGGCCAAATTCAGTCACTCTCTCTCAGCTTTGCCAGAATGGGGACTGCTCATTTTGGCCCCCATGTACTAATCCACATAATGAGGTCTGTGTACACAGGCAGCAGAAGTGAACCTCCCAGCCTAGGTTCGTAGATGGGCTTGTGCTCTACAAATAGCTGCGTAATACAAGGTGCGGCTCACAAGGTGAGATCTATTTTTTAGAGCGCCAGCGGGAGTCGGGCTGGCAAGCTCCCTCCTGCAGGCCGCGTAGACATCCAGCTCGTATCTGTTTTCCCAGAAATCCACCTGGGTAACTCCTATACTCCCATGAGCATTATGCAGATATCAATTAGCAAACAGGTGCCAATAGGCTTTTGTGCACTGAATTAAACAAGTGAATCATGTACTCAGAATGCTAGAGCTGGAAGGGACCTCGAGAGGGCATCAAGTCCAGTCCCCTGCCCATCTAGGACCAAGCACCATCTAGATCATCCCAGACAGGTGTCTGTCTGACCTGCTCTTAAATATCTCCAGCATTAGAGATTCTACCACCTCCGCAGGCAATTTCTTCCAGTGTTTAACCACTCTGGCAGTGAGGAAGTTTTTCCTAATATCCAACCTAAATCTCCCTTGCAGCAATGTAAGCCCATTGCTTCCAGTGAAGCTGAAGTAATTACCCCAAAGGATCTATGAATTAAAGCACCGGAGAAACATTAAGCTGTTCAAGATAAGTGGGCTCACCAAAAAGTTCCTTGCTCGTTCTAATAAATCTTGCTGCTCTGTTCCCAGCTCCGCAATTGTGCTCCTCCCCTTCACAGAAAGAAAGCAGCTCCAAAAACCAGAGTGGAAAGTAAAGATGGGAATGAGAAAAAGGACAGTGTGTTCACGACCAATCCTACGACCTCCCAATGAACTTTTTATATTCATATCACCTGGGACCAGAGCAGAGAACATGCCAGGACCTGTGTTCCCCTCTCTCGGTTCACCTGTGCGCATAGCTTTGACGTTGCTGCACTTCCTAACTCGTAGAGCGCCGCTCAATCAAAGCTGCCACTTTCGCACTGCTTCCGGGCATGGAAGACGCCCATAAAACACAAATAAAGTCCAAGTACTGAAAGGCCTCCATAAAACACGCCCTGCCTCCCACACAGCTCAGCCGAAAGCTCAACAGCTGTCTGGAGTAGGCAGCTGCCTGCCCGCTGGAGCTGTGAAATGAAAGATTTGGGATGTTTTGGCAAGCGTATTCAGGACCCAAGCCCGCAGTCCTTCTCAAGCCATGCTCTCACTGAGCCCCAGGGGAATTCAGACGGATTAGAGGCCCTGCGTGACTTCTGCCCCCAACTGCCAGGCCTTCCTTTCTCACAGAAATATTTCTGATGGGCAGAACCAGCAGTGGCTGCTGCCCTCTGCGGCAGGAGGGAGGGGAGACACGAGGCAACAGGACAGGCCTAAGTACGTGACGGACACGAGCTGACAACTGATTACGGCAGGTGAATGTTCCCACCATCGCACCCCATCCAGTTGAGCCATGACTTGGGAATGAACATTATTGAAGACTGGTCCATCCACGGTTCCCACTCATGTCATGTTGGGGGGGGGGGGGGAAGGAAAGAGGGCTGAGCCACATTAGATATCTGCTGTAGCCCCACATCATGAAGCCTCACGCAACAGGAGACTCCACGAGAAGGGGGCCAAGATGATCAAACTCTCCCAACTCCTGCACAAAACTAACATTGCATTTCTGAAGCCAAACTCTGAAGATTTATTCCAAACCGTTCTTCTGCCACCCAGAATACAGTGGGAGGCTCGGGTCTCGGCTGGCCTTCAGGAAGCAGTCACATAGAAGTGAGCTTTGTGAGCGATGCTCTCAGAGCACCCTCTAGTGGCCAGAGAGGGCACCATGGGACTACGTACAAATCAGAGGAGTATAAAAGTTCTGGATTATAATGGGTGAAAATGGCATGTAAAGATGTGCTGGGAAAAAAAATCCCAGGACCTCACTTGAACCAGCCTTTGTCATTCTAAAATCATTCTATCTGTAGTTATATCCCATTATAGTCTCAGTGGCAAATACTAAGACAGATGGGATAACAGCTCATGTTTTAACACAGAAATTACAGAGCTGGCATGGCTGTGAATAATTGTACAGCCCCCACCAAAATAAGCAACTATTGTCTCTTCTCTCTTAGCAGAAAATCTACTTACAATGTATATGCATCTAGGTCGGAAGTCCTTTTACTTATGTTCATTCTGAAAACATTACTTCCCAAATCTTTTGTTACAATCAGGTAGAAGGAAACTTTTGGCAAACACCTTTCATTCGCATAAGGTTTAAACATTGCAAACACCGAGTACGTCTACACTGCATGGCTATTTCAGGATACCTCTGGTATCCCGAAATAGCTACCCCACGTCTGCGCAAGCCACCGGTTCAAAATATTTTTCAAAATAATGGGCATGCTATTTCGGCATCCCAGTAAACCTTGTTGCACGAGGGATAAGGGATAGCTCAAAATAGCACATTATTTTGAAATTTGGTGCTGTGTAGACATGCCAAATTTCAAAATAAGCTATTTGGAAATAGTTTTGAAATAAGATACGCAATTTGCATAAACACATTTGTAGACACACCCATAGTCTACGCTTTTGCAATGTATTGATACAACTCTCTGTGCTGTTAACATGGCCCGTTTTTAACATTTCATATTTTTTCCACAGCGAGCTCTGTTAGACAGGGTAGTATTTCATTTCAATTAAATGTTAAATTGTTAATTACTTGTTTCTCATAGCATCTAAGAGCCCCACACGCTCATAAACCTGGACTCCATTGCACTATAAAAACACAGACTTTGACACCCCTGCCCCTAAGCGCTAAAGATCGCATGATTAAGCACCATGTTCCTATTATTTTTCATACACAATCCTCCCATTAAAACCACACTGAGCATAGAGCTTTTCAGGCTGGACCAAACTAATTCAGACTTGCCCGCGGAGAATTCTGAATGAAGAAGGGAGTAATTTAGGGTTAACTGAAACCCTTGAAGTGCATTCATGTGGTTCTTTGCACAGCTTGAATGACTCACACAAAATATTGACACTTGGTTTGTTTTCTTGTATCATAGCGGAACACGATAAACTATCAGTGCTG